GCCTTTCAGTCTATGAACACACAAGTGAATGTGGGGGAGAAGAGGTTCAAAGAATGACTGTTCTTAGAGGATGAAGTTGTTGCTAGAAAGAAGAGATATGCAGGTTATTTTAAGTATCTCTAAAAACAAGTGATGGGAGACTTCCCTGGTGGTCCAGTGGTTGAGACTTTGTCTTCCAATGCAGGGGGTGCAGGTTTGATCCTTGGTCTGGGACCTAAGACCCCACGTGCCTTGTGGCTGAAAAACTGAAACATAACACAGAAGCAATATTATAACAAATTTAATAAAGATTGTAAATGATCCACATAAAAAAAAAATCTTTAAAAATGAGTGATGGAAGGAAGTCTAGAAGAAAAATCTTCGAACTTAAACTTTTGTATCTAGAGAGAATTCAGTTCCCATATATAAAGACTTTCCTTAAAAAATTGAGACATGATTGGCACTTAGCACTGTGTTAGCTTAAGGTGTACAAAGAGGTTTGACACGTGCATATATATTGCAATGTGATGCCACCATGGCGTTACCTAGCACCTCTTTCTAGTCACATAATTATTATTTCTCTCTTATGGTCACAGCATTTAAGATCGAGTCTGTTAGCATATTTAAAATATATGATACAGTATTGCTGACTATAATCATAATGCTATACATTAGTTCTCCAGAGCTTATTCACCTTCTAACTGAAAGTTTATTCCATTTGGCCATCCAAATGGAATGGATTTGGATTCTCCCATCCAATGGATTCCATTCTCCCATCCACCAGCTGGTAACAACCCATTCTCTGTTTTATGAATTCAGATTATTTAGTTCCACTCTGAGTGATATTATTCTGGCCTGGAGAATGCCATGGACTGTCCACGGGGCTGCAAAGTCCATGGGGTTGCAAAGAGTCGGACATGACTGAGTGACTGTCACTTTCACTTCTGTAAGTGGTATTAACACTTATATTAATCTTTGTATGACTTCTCTCACTTAGTATAATGCCCTGAAGGCCCATTCATGCTGTTACAAATGGCAGGGTTTCCTTCTTTTATGGAATTGAATAATATTCCATTATATACTCTATATCTTTTTTATCCAGTCACCCATTGATCATGGATAAGAAATGTTGGGGGCCATGATGACAGACCTGGTCATGAACAGATTAGAGTTCATTTCCTTAGAAGAGCTATATTACAAGCCATGCACTTTTTACAAATACCAATGGCAACTTACTTAGAAGCAGTTGGGTAAGTGTTGTATGTAAACAGTTTATTCTCCTAACAACATGATGAAGAGGCATGCTTACCCCTGTCTTACAGATGGTAGTGTTGAATCTCATACAAGTTAGTAAATGCGGCAGCTTGTGTGTGTGTGTATGCATTCTCAACTGCTAAGTCCTGTCTGACTGTTTTGTGACTCCATGGACCATAGCCTGGCAGGTTCCTCTGTCCACTGGATTTCCCAGGCAAGAATACTGGAATGGGGTGCCATTACCTTCTCCAGGGAATCTTCCTGACCCAGGGAATGAATCTGAGTCTCCTGCTTTGGTAGGCAGATTCTTCACCACTGAGCCACCTGGAAAGCCATCTGTGTCTTAGAGTTCCTTAAACTAAATCCACAGATAAAACAAGGTAGAAAAAGTTGATTACTAAAACCAAACATTGGTCTTATCATCTAGAATCAAGGCTTTGGAATACAGCCTACAGAGAAGGACTAGTGAAATTAAATTAATTAAATTTAAAAAGGAGTTTATTTTAGGTATCTATAAAAAGTAATGCAGGGAAACACTTTTTAGACATGCTTCAGTAGAACTTTTTAAGATTACTTAAGTCATATATTTCCATGATAAATCCTTCACAAACTTCTTTATTACTCTTAACAGTTTACTTTCAACACATCCTTCGAGTGATTAAAACAGATCTTGGACATGGTAATTGAGAAGCAATAAATCACAATAATTCAAGCTTTAAAATCTTTCTCTGTCTCTCTTCTCTTTATCTTTCCTCTTTTAGTTCAGCTGAAGTTCTGAAAAATCCAATTAACTGCTTTAACTCATCACGTGGAATGTACAGATAAAATCATTGCATACAAATAAAATGCAGTCTCAGCTATGTGGGCTTCTCTGTTGGCTCAGATGGTAAAGAGTCTGCCTGCAGGGGACCAGGGTTCGATCCCTGGGTCGGGAAGATCCCTTGAAGAAGGAAATGGCAACCGACTCCAGAATTCTTGCCTGGAGAATCCCACGGAGAGAGGAGCCTGGCGGGCTACCGTCCATGGGGTCACAAAGAGTGTGACATGACTGAGCGACTTCACTTTCACTTTTCACTTTCTCAGCTGTGCCCAGGTTTTCCAATGCTAATGGCAGGGGTTAAATTCTGCACTGTACTCCAATATTCCCATCATTCATCTTAGACCAAATATTACTTCAGATTTTAACACTATCTCCTTGGAATATGAAAAATTTCCACATTTACCAAACCATTTTCATGGAGATTTGCTGTGTATATTTGATGCATAGAGTTCGCACTCTGAATAACCTAAACCCAAATACTCATGGCAGTAAAACAATTTTAAAGGAATAGCCTCATTTTATTAAATGCTTCCATTGTACTGTGGTCTGAGTAAAGACCTTGTTGTTGTTGGTCAGTCACTAAGTGGTGTCCAACTCTTTGCAACTCCATGAACTGTAGCAGGCCAGGCTTTCCTGTCTGTCTCTGTCTCCCAGACTTCACACACATTCATGTCCACTGACTCAGTTATGCTGTCTAATCATCTCACCTTCTGCCACCCTCTTCTCATTCTTCCAGTATTTCTTACAATATTTTGTTATCAGTGTTCTAGAGGCAAGAACAAACACATACTCAAAACATACCACAAAAAGCCAAACTCTGGGACCAGAGTTTATATAAATTGCTCTGAAGTACACAAGTATTAAGGGGAAGCCTTAAATTTAAGATCAGCTGTCCTCAAATATAAAACCACTGCCATTCTTGTATGTTAAAGAAGTTGAGATGATGAAACAATATTCATTCATTTATTCAACAAAACACTTGTTGAGTGCTAACCATGTGATAAGAGTCTAGTGTTAGGAGTCGGGTCTTAAAAACTAAGACCCTGGCCTTCAAGCTGCATATGGTCAAGTAGAGGAAGTTGATGAGAGAAGAATTAATGTACTGTAATAGATATATGGTTTCCCCTGATGGCTCAGTGGTTAGAAATCCACCTGCCAATGCAGGAGATGCAGGTTTGATCCCTGGGTCAGGAAGATCCTCTGGAGAAGAAAATGGCAACCTATTCCAGTGTTCTTGCCTTGAAAATGCAATGGACTGAGGAGCCTGGCGGGCTACAGTCCATGGGGTCTCAAAGAGTCAGACACAACTGAGCACACACGCACAGCAGAGGCATATATATGAGAAGTGAGAAAAGTGAGCGGAAGCTTTGAAATCTTTTCTTTAAAATAATCATTTTCTCCAGCAAGCTACAAAGTTGTCATGTCTCCCAAGCAGGTCACTCTCAGAAAAGGTTGTTGTTGTTTAGTCCCTCAATTGCGTTCAACTCTTCTTGCAATTGAATGGACTGTATAACCTGCCAGGATGCTCTGTCCATTGCCTCTTCCAGACAAAGAAGACTGGATTGGATTGCCATTTTCTCCTCCAGGGCATCTTCCCAACCCAGGAATTGAACTCGCGTCTCCCATATCTCCTGCACTTGCAGGCAGATTCCAAGACTTGTAGGTGCAGATGACATTTGCAGAGCAACTCACTGAATCTCCAGAACTGGTGGCCCTGACTGGAACCAGTGTGCTGGTGCAATTTTCCATTTTACAGGGAAAGATTAATCAATATGCAGGAGATGAACACGAGTTTTCTCTAGGAAGATATTATACTTTCCTTTCTCATTTTTCCAGAGTAAGTTTCCATGAGGTGGGTGTGTTTGGGTTTAGCAGGGAAGAACACCACAGTGGTGTGTTGTTTTAGTGGTTGCGGGATGACCTAAAGTAAAAACCATAAGTTCAAAGTGTCTGGCTGTTTACGGGACACCCACCTCCAGAGAACTGGCATTTGAGTGTGAGATTACTCATCCGTATTAACTCTGAATAAACACTTTCTTGTTAAGTGTAACACGGACTATACATTTCCTGACAAAATAGTCCTCAAACTTACACAGAATATCTGGACCAGAGTTTATTTCTTTAAGATATATTTAGAAAGAGACAAGTCACTTCAGTGCATTATTTTCTAAGCTGCCCATGGTTTGGGGGCAAAGCGATGGACCAGAGACTTGATACTGCATCTTCAATGAGAGGAGGGTCACAAAGATTGCAGGTATTTTCCATGGCATTACTTCATCCATGCCTTTGTACTGCCGATCAGCCAGCTGTTTCTGGGTCAGTTTGTTAAACTGTGCATCTATTCTAAATACCAACCCAGGCTATCCCCTGATTCCAATTTATCTGTGACACACGCATCTACTTCATTGTCATGGGCAAACAAGTAAGTGACAAAGGCAGGTATGATTTTAAGAATAAATCCAGAGGAAAAAGTCATACAAGACAGACATATACATAAACTCTGATAAACTCAACAGATGATGAAAGGAAGAGTTTGGAGGACTAACCCTACTACATCTAATGCTTCCCTGGTGGCTGGGTGGTAAAAAATTCACCTGCCAATGCAGGGGACTTGGGTTCAATCCCTTAGTCAGGAAGATCCCCTGGAGAAGGAAATGGCAACCCAATGCAGTATTCTTGCCTGGGAGATCACATGGACAGAGGAGCCTGGTGGGCCACAGTCCATGGGGTCACAAGAGTCAGACACGACTGACCCGCTGTTCGTCATGAACCCTTTTATCCCATGACCTAGTATGGGACTCTCCATTGCACGGTTCAACTTTATACTGCAACTATCTCATTAAAACAAAAGAAAACAATGAGAAGCAAGCAAGCAAAAACCATGAAATTCACTCCTGTTATACCCTTTGCCTCTGGGATATACTTTCTCAAGCAAGGCAGTCACCCTTTAATGAAGAAGAGACTCTGAAGAGGGGTCAAGATACAAAGAAGACCACTGTGTCTTGGGCCGACCCTCCTGAAGCTGCCAGACTAGTGCAGAGCATCTCTGGAGCAAGAAGCGCTTCCTGCGATCTCTGGTGCCCCGGAAGTGCTCCTGAGCCATGGGCAGCAGGCGGGAGCCGCCCGGGGGGTGGGCGGCTGCCGAGGGAGGAGTAGGGAAGCACTTCCGGGTGGGGCCGCCGGGCCGCCAGAATCACACAGACCAGCCACAATCACCAGGCAGTCCTTCACGACATTTATTACTGTGTGTACTCTCTATGGGATTATTCATATTTGCTCAGAGACTGACAAGCCAGAAATGACTAAACGGTGGCGCATGAATCCTCTATTTCAAAAAACCATGAGCCGGGTTGTTCCCCACCATTTCATCAGCTTCACTTTTCCTCCCGCGTGTGCCTGACGCACAGGCGACAGCACGGCCCTGGATGAGGCAGCCTTGCCTCCGCGTGCCCTGGTTCCCGGTATCGAGGAGCCTGTAGTCCTTCCTGTTAGCCCCGGGTCCCTAATCTGGATTTCTAGCTGAATTCACGAGTCCTAGTAAAATTCAGTGTTCTAGAATTTTCCAGAGTCCTCGCCGCTCACTCCGACAACTGAAATCTGAATATTCCGCTTCTGTTTATTTTCACAGCTTTTCCTCTGCTGATGGATTGCTCCCATTGCTTTCATTTGTGAAAGGACTTATGTCAGTTTGGGGTATTGATATCTGTTTCCTTATTAACATTTCTTGGGGAAAAGCAGCCTGATTACCCGGTTGGTTAGAAGTTTAAAGATTGGGCTTGGTGAAGTTTTGGAGTAGCAGAGGCATTTGGGGATAAGAAGGAAACATGAACTCTGATATGATATTTGATAACACTGAATCCGTGGATCTCTGTTCCACTCAAATCCATGTCTCTCCCTTCCCTCTCTTCCTTTCTGTCTCCCTTTCTCAAAGTAACTTTCTAAAGTCAATAATTTATTTTTATAGCCATACTTCCGAATCTAGAGAGTCGAACACTTCCATATTGTAGAATGTTCTCCGGTGAACTTTACTGATTGTGTAATTTAACATGAACAATAATTTTAAAATTAATACTATATGTAGAAGAAGTAGCCCAATAATCATAAATGTATCTTCATTAGCTATTCTCTCTCTCTCGTGTGTGTGTGTGTGGTGTACGCGCTCAGTTGTGTTTGACTCTTTGCAACACACTGAACTGTAGCCCGCCAGAATCCTCTGTCCCTGAAATTTTCCAGGAAAGGATACTGGGAAGCCCAATGGGGAAGCCCATTTTTTCCCAGTTTAGTTTATTTAAGCACATAACACCAATCAACAAGCAAGTTTCTTTTGTGGCAATATACTTGTACACACAAAAAACATGCAGTCAATTTTATTTCCAGGTGACTAAGGTAACCTAATTGTGGTTCCTATAAACAAATAGATAATAGATAGATAGATACAGAGAGATAGATAGAGACATGACATAAACAAAGCTTATATGAATTGTCATTTCACCGCACATGGGCATTTCTCATTCTAGATCTGTTCCTGTGACATTTATCATAGAGAAAACGTAAAAGAAATAATATGCAGATATATATATATATATATATATATATCAGAAACTGAGAGATGGGCTGCTTATTCCTTCTAGATTTTTTTTAATTCAGTCATCTCTAGAACCTATAGGATTATTTTACATACAAGAATACTGTTGTTATTTTAACCCTATAGAACATAATACTAGCAGAATTTCGAATTACAATATTTTCTTTATCCTAACCTTGTTGTTGTTAGTAATGATTGTTGTTTACTGTTACTTGGAAATTCAGTTTGACTCTGAGTATATCTAATTTCTATTGCTTTACACCAAGTGTTTCCCCTTTGCCATCAAAAGGAAAGTTTTGATCATTTACTCTCTAAATTTAGATGTGTAAAATAGTTTGGAAGAAAATATTTTTTAAAGCTTCAGAGAAACCACTTCATATCTATAATCACAGATTTTTCCCTGAGTTTGAAATGAAACAGTACAGATTTAAATGTATACCTGAAAATGCAAAAATTATTACTAGAAAAACCTATTATATATCTCTCTCTTAGTATAGCAGTTGGCTAAAAGTAAATGTTTCTTTATTCAGTAATTTATTTTAAATCTGCTAAAAAAAGGAACTTGGGTTTAGAGCAAGTTTTTGGTTTATTAAACAAACTCACACCTGGCCACAAAGTTCTTTGTATTTAGTTAAGTATATTCTCCAAAAAAGATGAAAAGTAAGTTTTGCTTTTGTAAGTTCACTGATGGAAACCTTAATACAACCTAAACAAAAATGTTAGATTTTCAATGGTGAAAAAGTATATACTTTTCTATGACAGATCCATTGCTTTAGTTTTGGTTAGTGGAGACTTGAGGACACTCTCCAGGGAAGGGTCAACACTGGCATTTTGTTTGTTACTCATTCTGCCAGTGAAACATTCCTGCCTGGCAACACAGATTCCCAGCCCTGGACTTCCATCAGTTCAGTTCAGTTCAGTCACTCAGTCGTGTCCAACTCTGTGACCCCATGAATCACAGCACGCCAGGCCTCCCTGTCCATCACCAACTCCTGGAGTCCACCCAAACTCATGCACATCGAGTCAGTGATGCCATCCATCCATCTCATCCTCTGTCATCCCCTTCTCCTCCTGCGCCCAATCCTGCCCAGCATCAGGGTCTTTTCCAATGAGTCAATTCTTCACATGAGGTGGCCAAAGTACTGGAGTTTCAGCTTCAGCATCAGTCCTTCCAATGAACACCCAGGACTGATCTCCTTTAGGATGGACTGGTTGGATCTCCTTGCAGTCCAAGGGACTCTCAAGTGTTTTCTCCAACACCACAGTTCAAAAGCATCAATTCTTCAGCACTCAGCTTTCTTCACAGTCCAACTCTCATATCCATACATGACTGTTGCAGGAAGGGGGACCCGTTCCAGGGCCCAAAAGCGGGCTCTTGTCTAACACTCAGAAATGAATTATCCGAGGAGACACATGTGCTGACAAAGCAAGAGATTTTATTGGGAAGGGCACCTGGGTGGAGAGCAGGAGGGTGAGGGAACCCAGGAGAACTGCTCTGCCACATGGCTCACAGTCTCAGGTTTTATGGTGATGGGATTAGTTTCCAGGTTGTCTTTGGCCAATCATTCTAATTCAGAGTATTTTCTGGTGTTGCATGCATCGCTCAGCCAAGATGGATGCTAGCGAGAGGGATTCTGCGAAGTGGACAGACACGCGGTGTCTCCTTTCGACCTTGCCAGAACTCTTCCGGTTGGTGGTGGCTTATTAGTTCCGTATTCCTTATCAGGATCTCCTGTCATAAAACAACTCATGCAAATGGTTACTATGGTGCCTGGCCAGGGTGGGCGGTTTCAATCAGTGTGCTTCCCCTAACATGACCACTGGAAAAACCATAGCCTTGACTAGACGGACCTTTGTTGGCAAAGTAATATCTCTGCTTTTTAATATGCTATCCAGGTTGGTCATAACTTTCCGTCCAAGGAGTAAGCGTCTTTCAATTTCATGGCTGCAATCACCATCTGCAGTGATTTTGGAGCCCCCCAAAAGATAAAGTCTGACACTGTTTCCACTCTCCCCATCTATTTCCCATGAAGTGATGGGACCAGATGCCATGATCTTAGTTTTCTAAATGTTGAGCTTTGAGCCAACTTTTTCACTCTCCTGTTTCACTTTCATCAAGAGGCTTTTTAGTTCCTCTTCACCTTCTGCCATAAGGGTGGTGTCATCTGCATATCTGAGGTTATTGATATTTTTCCAGGCAATCTTGATTCCAGTTTGTGCTTCCTCCAGCCCAGTGTTTCTCATGATGTACTCTGCATATAAGTTAAATAAGCAGGGTGACAATATACAGCCTTGACGTACTCCTTTTCCTGTTTGGAACCAGAAAAGAAGAAAAGAAGAGAAGCTAAAAGCAAAGTAGAAAAGGAAAAATATTCCCATTTGAATGCAGAGTTCCAAAGCATAGCAAGGAGAGATAAGAAAGCCTTCCTCAGTGATCAATGCAAAGAAATAGAGGAAAACAACAGACTGGCAAAGACTAGAGATCTCTTCAAGAAAATTAGAGATACCAAGGGAACATTTCATGCAAAGATGAGCTCAATAAAGGACAGAAATGGTATGGACCTAACAGAAGCAGATGATATTAAGAAGAGGTGGCAAGCATACACAGGAGAACTGTACAAAAAAGATCTTCATGACCCAGACAATCATGATGGTGTGATCACTCACCTAGAGCCAGACATCCTAGAATGTGAAGTCAAGTGGGCCTTAGAAAGCATCACTATGAACAAAGCCAGTGGAGGTTTTGGAATTCCAGGTGAGCTATTTCAAATCCTGAAAGATAATGCTGTTAAAGTGCTGCACTCAATATGCCAGCAAATTGGGAAAACTCAGCAGTGGTCACAGAACTGGAAAAGGTCAGTTTTCACTTCAATCCCAAAGAAAGGCAATGCCAAAGAATGCTCAAACTACCGCACAATTGCACTCATCTCACATGCTAGTAAAGTAATGCTCAAAATTCTACAAGCCAGGCTTCAGCAATACGTGAACTGTGAACTTCCAGATGTGTGAGCTGGTCTTTGGAAAGGCAGAGGAACCAACAATCAAATTGCCAACCTCCGCTGGATCGTCGAAAAAGCAAGAGCATTCCAGAAACACATCTATTTCTGCTTTATTGACTATGCCAAAGCCTTTGACTATGTGGATCACAATAAACTGGAAAATTCTTAAAGAGATGGCCATACCAGACCACCTGATCTGCCTCTTGAGAAACCTGTGTGCAGGTCAGGGAGCAACAGTTAGAACTGGACGTGGAACAACAGGCTGGTTCCAAATAGGAAAAGGAGTATGTCAAGGCTGGACAAGTCACCCTGGACTTCCATAGAGGTTCTTAAACCTGTGAGAGAACGCAGTGACATCTTCACACTGAAATACTGAAGGTTTGTGGACTGGTGGATTTGAGGGAGTGAGAGGGAAGAACAAAGAGAAGAGAAGGGAGGGGAGGGGTGGGCAGGGAGAGAGAGAAAGAGAAATGTTCAGGGAGAAGCAAGGAGGCAAGAGGGAGGGACAGAGCAGGAAAGAGGAAAAAAGGCCTCGGTTCTTCTGAATCATTTAA